CAACAACATATATTTGAACAAGCTGTGGTACCCGTCCTGTTTGCTATGATAAATAACACAAATCCCTAACTTTCACGCAATTTATTTATAACATATTATTACAGTATTCATTGTTACATCACTCAAAGTTTTGTACAAGCTTTAAAAACTTACTATCTATATACTTAAAACATGGTATACATTGTGCAATGGTCAGGGCGACTTTATACGAAGAGGTAGTGGCAGTAGGAGTGCTTTCTGTTACTCACTTTCGACACCAGTTCTTATTGTCTTTCCACACTGTTTCACATTATTAATTACGTGATGGTCACTGGCCACAGGTCAAAGTAGGAAGTGGGTATAACTCAAGATATGGCCCTTATTAGAATTATGGTGGCTGTTGGAATATAAACTTCATTTGAATTTATGTATCATTGGAATAGTGGCAGCAATTTTTTTCATTCCATTCCTCCCCCACACTGTGTGTATGTTATAAAATATTTAAGTTTTATTGTTTGGTATACGAACGTGGCCCCATCTATGAATGTATTTAATGTTATCTTCTTATATCAGTGACAATAAATGCTCAATAATATCAATAATAGGGGGTGGGGTGGAGGGGGTTTATGAACCTCCGATTAACATGTCCCCCTTTCCAGACTATCAACCCACGAAGTTGGGTTACAGACACATAGTTTTGTGCTCTGTGAGTGTGTATGTACGTATATGGTAAGGACTGGCTTTGAGTTTTGTGTTATTTCTGTAATTGAGACAGCTTAAATGAGCCAACAGATCCATCCTTGTACTTTTAATTATGTTGTTTTCATTTCTCTAGTTTAAAAAACAACTTTAAAGAAAAACAATTTTTAGTAAAATTTGTGTCTCTTAGGGTCTGATTAACTCACCGAGGTTCGATACCATTGTACTCTGGAAGGGTTACAGTTTTCCCATTGTGCCTTATAAGCTTAAGTATAATGATTCTGCTACAACCAAAACCCAGTTTAAACCACATTACATATTCAAAAAGCTCTTTTATTATTGAAAGAAAAAAATATTCCATAATAATACATGGTCCAGGACATCATTAGTTAGCTCCCAGTACAATACAATGTAACAACTGTAAATATATTACTGAAATTAATTTACTGTATACATATAGTGTTTTTTTTGCATTCAGACATAATTTAAAAATATACTTGAGCTTAAGTCTTTGGTATCTTGTTGCTTTAGATTTAGGAAAATCATTCAATTACCCAAAACAAGTGAAGAATAAAAATATGAGAATTTTTAATGTAGTACTAAATGTGTTTAATCCTGGACTTTTGTTGATGAAATAACTAATGATTGCTTATGTAATTAATAATTTCCTTACTAATTAGTATTTAAATACAATCTTACTGACTTGTTTGCTACATAAATCAACTTTTGTGTCAGTTTTTTCACACAATCTTTTTTTAACACACACTCACTCTGGGTAACAGCCAGGATATTGATTGATTGTGGACAACACTCCTTTTTGATCTATGGATCACTGTGCTGGGCAGGAAAGAGTTAGCGGATTCTCCTTCTTTTATCAGCTGCTAATTGTTACATTGTGGCTTGACTTTCTCTTCAAATATAGCATTTATTTTTAAAGCATATTATCATTCACTGATGACTGTAGTGATGAAAACAAATTCATCCATTTGGTCAATTAGAAATAATTATATTTTATCTTTTGAACTCTTTTTTAGAACTGTAAATTATGATTTTTTTGTGAATATTTTCTTAAAATTACTAAAGTTTAACTTGGGCTAAAATGTTGTATAGTTTCACTTGAGAACAATACAAAAAAATTAAACTTACACCTTATTACACGCTTATTAAGTATATGGTGGAGTGTTAGTAGCATGCATGTTATACATGTTGTGTAACAAATATCTATGTGATGTAATCTGGAGCGACTGCACTAAATACATTCCTCTTGTCAAACAAAAATACCAGAAAAATCTCAGATGTACATCTTTCTGGCTTGCTAAGGTTTTCATTACGTAATACTTTAAAATGATACCTTAGAAACAGATGATGTCATCACGTGGATTGTTACATTTCAACAAAGAATTGAGCTATAAAATTCACTATTCCTAAACAAATCAGAAAACCATGTAACACGATAGTAGTAGTTGTCAAGTTTCCTCTATTCTTCTGAGCCTTAAGGTAAGTAATGCAAGGGAGGGTAAAGACGTATGACAGAGCCGAAATGGCACCAGAAAACCTGAAAGAATAAAAACAAACAAAAAATTAATACTAAAGTTCTAGAAACATCATTAAGAATAAGGTAACATACTTTAAAATGTACAATAATATATGCAAGTGACAGAATCATGTATAAAACATCATTAACAATAATATAACATACTTTAAAATGCACAGTAATATATGTAAGTGATAGAATCATGTATAAAACATCATTAACAATAATATAACATACTTTAAAATGCACAGTAATATATGTAAGTGATAGAATCATGTATAAAACATCATTAACAATAATATAACATACTTTAAAATGTACAATAATATATGCAAGTGACAGAATCATGTATAAAACATCATTAACAATAATATAACATACTTTAAAATGCACAGTAATATATGTAAGTGATAGAATCATGTATAGAACTTCTTCTGTGTCAACCTTTAACAAATTTGTACTCTTATTTAGTTTTAAAAACATGGTCTACATTTATCTAAAGTCTGAAGTGATAAAATCATGTTCCATTTCACTTCATCAGGTTTTTGATACAAAATATCAAATCAAGCTTCACTGTACTAATTACTTTTTCATGACAAACTTCTCAATTACAAAAGGCGACAAATTCAATGTTCAATAGATTTCTAAAGATGAGGTTTTAAGGTTGTCTAAAAGTATATTGTATTTATAATTTGAAAATAATGTACAAGTTTGCACCTTTTGTTTTTTAGATCAGTGGGTGAATGTCTTACCTGATGATGGTTCCAATGTGAGGAAAGAAAACAGCAAACAAAATACAGATAAGCACAAGGAAACTATTCAAAATTACAACATGCTTGAACCTGAAAAACAAAGAAATTAACATGTAAAATTTTTTAAAAGTTAAACGAAACACATTTGTTGAAATATTACCTGTCATGTTACTAAAATTTGTATTTTTCCATCACAGAAAGAAATAAAAATTCAATGTACACATGACCTGTTTTGTCAGTAGATTTAAGTCTTAAATTTTAACTGCTATAATTATAGGGTCAACATAACACATAGATTAAGTTTTGCAAATTCTTATTTTATTTCAAGCCTATAAATATTTCATGCTTTGTGTGGTGAAGACAAAGAAACATTTCAATCCATGGTTAATATCTGAAAAGCCATATCAGTACTGAGAGCATAAAATTCAAACAGTTATGCTAGTAGTATATATGATACATGTTATTCTTACATATTTGTCTTACCCTGGATAAATTGACCCAAACAAGAAATGCATTGACTGGATTCTCAGTATATAAAGAATCAGTGGAAAGAGTGTAAGTACTTGGAATAGTAGAAATACTCGAGTCAAGAAGGCCATCAAGTCAGAACTACTGAAGTTGTTCAAAATGTTCTAGAGCAAAAAAATAATAATATAAAAATTAAAACAAAAATAAGAAAATCAGTTTGGTAACCAAGGTGTTTAACTTTGATACATGAAGATATCCAAGATGTTTAACTTGTATACATTAAGTGTAGCTCAGCTAAGCATAATTAAAACAAATCAAACAATAACGTTTTTATCAGCAATATCCTTCAACTACTTAGTGACATTTTGTTTGGACAGTAATTAACATTTCATAATCCAAGTCCAAACCCAGGATCTCTAACACACCATTGAAATACCAAGTTCCACCATCACTGTACAATTTATACAAGTTTGCTTTGTATTTTTTATTATTATTATTATTATACACAATTCACTAATGCAGAAATTGTAAACTACTTTCTTGTGGTGTTTTCTGGATACTTTATACACTGTTATTTATTACAAACATTATCTCAATTTATCAAGGTGTTGTCAAAGACCACCTTAATAGGAGAATGATAATACATGTCCTTGCACGAATTGTACAATTTTCTATGATCTAACCACTCAAGCAAAAATAAGTGTTATGAACAAGTACTGAAAACATTTCATTTAATACACTTGTAACTGTACTAAGTTGTGACAGTACTCAGACTGTTGTTTTCTTGATCAGAAGATTTTCTTACTTTCACTGCTTTTGTTAAAGCTATAGAAAAAGAAAGAAAGTGTACTTTCGAATTTGCTACACATCACTCAATTACACAGGTTTCAGAGAACCCTCATAACACCTGCAGTCTTAGACAAAATACACAGTACTGTCAACAGTACATCTGTTGAGTGACAGCATTACTGTAGGTTAGTTCTAGATATTACAAACACGAGTTGTTTAAATCACAGCCACACAAGAGCAAGGCCAGAAGAAACATGATCTCAACATCTGGTTACAGTTTACTGTTTAAAATGTATTTCAAAACCTTATGTAACAAGTTTACTTTTATTGGTATACAACAGCTAAATATATGTTTGAAAATTAGTAGGATATTCATTTCCAGAATTTAAATTAAAAGCCAAAAAATATATATTGTTATGACAGCGGAAGTCACGTGATGCTGAGAGCATGCGCACTGGAGTTTCTAGAAGGATCATGACTTATCGAGGAACCCTGCGAATGTCCGAGTGTTTGCCAGACGTACTCTTCTTTAGTATATAAGCCCGACAAATAAAGCTAGTGAGAGAAGAGATATAGATAGATTGAAGAGATAGATAATTGAGTCAAGTGAACAGTAGGCACCGTAAGTAAAGTGTGTGAATCACTGCGATTTATAGCGTGTGTTATGAAGGTTGTTAAGTTTAAAGTGACTGTGGAAATTATGTGTATTACAAAAAGTTGTATTGAGAAAGAATAAACGAGTTTTAATCAATAAGGGACTTGTATCGCTGAAGTTTCTCGGAAAGAATTTTTACTGGAAATTATCAAACAAGCAGATACGTAACAAATTGGTGTCAGAGAGTGCCTGATTCTAATCAGTGGTTTAATAAAGCAGATTAGGCCTGGCATGGCCAGGTGGTTAGGGCACTTCACTCACAATATTTCAGCCATGGTGGTGTTATAATGTGATGGTCAATCCCACTATTTGTTGGTAAAAGAGTAGCCCAAGAGTTGGCAGTGGGTGGTGATGACTAGCTGCCTTCCCTCTAGTCTTTCACCACTAAATTATAGTAGTCTAGTGCAGATAGGCCTCATATAGCTTTGCACAAAATTCAAAATAAACTAAAGCAAATTTACTGATTACCTCAGCAATACACAGTTTCTTCAGTGGGAAGGAAACGTAGATCAAGAATCCAATCAGGAAATAGGTCAAACACACCAGAATATATGCTATAATTAAATCTCGAACCTGCAAATTACAAATAGATTGTAATTAAAAACCTAAATTTTTGTTTTGTTTAACAACTAACACAAGTTATGAAGGGCATAATATTTATGTTTAAGTCTTAAAAATTAAAGTTTTCTAGATATACTTCTTTCAGACTATATTGTAGAGAACAGACTATACAAAATTTTCTTCTTGCTTCCAGTAACGTGCAAGTGTCAAAAATTGGAAAACTAAACAAAATCTGTAATCCACAGATTTATATATAACATATTAGTAAACATGAATAAATAAAACAACAGCTATGCTATTATTATGAGATTTTCTACAACATACATAGGTTGAGTACATTATATTAAAATGATTAGCGTATAGCCCATCAAAAATGATGTGGCAAGTACTACCACCCCACAATGTACCCTAACCACACATTTCATAGATAACCAAAATAAATAAATTTTTGGAAATCAAGCTTGAACAACAAACTTAAATGTCAGTAATAATAATGACAACCAAAATCACAATTATCTTGGTAACCTTATTTCCTGCAATAATAAAAAAGCTAAAGAATCTTTATACTTCATCTATAAATTCTCTATACTTAAAAAGCAGGATGTACATTCTTACCAGCAGAAATTAAAACCTGTCTAAAATAATCATGATGTCATTTCAAATTATTCTAAATCAAAACTACAAAAAGCTTAAGCTAGCCAAACGTTATTACATAGTTTTACCAAAGACTTTGATATTTATCTAAAGATCAGTTGCTAACCCAAAGGTGTTTTGTACAGCTTCTGATTTGAAAGTTAGTCGGTTACAGTAAAGCCATCTAATACAAAAATACAATACCCTATAACCCAAGTGCTTACAAAAGGTGGACCTTTCTTCTTCAAAAGAAGAAAGATCTGCATTTCAAAAGCACTTGGGTTATAGGGTATTTTACTTGTTTTAAATTGATTTCTTGAACCTATGTATTTTCCTAACATCGTATAGTAAAGCCATCAGTATTAATTTTCTTGCTAAATTATAAATGAAGCTTTTCAGGATACATAAATTATGCTACAATGTAAGATACAAAAATACAAGGAAAACTTTTTAATGATCAACCTCAGTTAGTTTCTATAGTGACACAAAAGTGTGTTTGTATAAAAATAATACCCATATATAGAGGGTCTTGTTTTCACTTACATTATTTTCTGGATTCTTCTGGTTTCGACAAAGGGACAAAATACAGTTGTGAATGAAAAACGCCATTGACGATACTCCAGATAGTGCAGGAAATGATGGAAGATACACTATAAAACAATTACATATCTACAATAGTTAAAAATATTAACTATCAAGAGAGAATTACAGCAAAGATGCATCAAGAAATAATTATTGAAATAAAGCTGCTATAGTACAATATAAATCTTAAGTGCACATAACAGTAAACAACAAGTATAAGGCCAATACTGTGGTACATGGCAAGTATAAAATTAATAGAGTTACAGGGCAAACCTACAGCCAACAGAGTATTACAGGGTAAACAAAGCCAACATAGTAGCACAGAACAAATCTAGACCCGAGATAGTGTTACATGACAAATATAAGGCTGACAATATTACATATGTTTTATGTTGATTTGTAAAAAATAGACAAAAGAAAATTTATATACAGAAAAATAAGTGTTAGATTTAATGAAGTCTACTGTTATTATTATGGTTAATTTTAAATCACAGATTCATACAATTACACAAAGGTTAATGCTACATTACAAGTTCATCCAAAAAAAAATTATGAATGTTTACCTGCTAATTGAATTTTTTTTATACAAAATGATGAATAGGGTAGTTAAGTCGTGAGTAACGTGCAAGTGTCAAAAATTGGAAAAACTAAACAGAATCTGTAATCCACAGATTTATGTACAACATATTAGTAAACATGAATAAATAAAACAACAGCTATGCTATTATTATGAGATTTTCTACAACATACAGAGGCTGAGTACATTATATTGAAATGATTAGCATATTGCCCATCAAAACTACCACCCCACAATGTACCCTAACCACACATTTCATAAATAACCTATATAAATAAATTTTGGGAAATCAAGCTTGACAAACAAAGAGGCAGAAAAGTTCAGTTGAGGCAATCAAATATTGGTAAATTCCTTTGTGAGCCAATCAAAATTATGATCATTCATGAAATGAATTTGTGGCATATTCATAAAATAATTATTGGTAAAAATCAGTTAGATTAACAACTGCTAATATATAGAAAAGCCAATGAGTTTTGGTCAAACTACGCTCCAACAATGGCTTTATATCTTGTTGCTTACCAACAAAAGTATAACCTAATATTGTTGTTAGTCTATGTACTGATAGTATACAATGAAATGTATAGACAACAAAACTGGAAAAATATTTGTTGATTTCTTAATTTAGTTTCTGTTGATTAAAAGGTTTGTTTTTATGATGTAAAATGTTGGTGATATTACAGAAAATAGCTTAATTCAGAAATGATTTAAGTTTAAAATTGAATCAATATTTTTACTTTCATGATGAATTTTATGCACTTGGCTAGGTGATCCCACACTACGTTTTTACTTTAGGCTTATTATACCTATACTCACTACACTTTTAAGGTTTCATGGCACACACACCCCTCACAGCCCACTTACACCCCCTGACACTAAAATCATAATGGGCAAACAGTAATCAAACGATTCTATCTGGATAGATGCATGTTGAGTTTTACAACAGCTCCTATTTTGAGAAATCAAGCATGAAACAGCATACACTGGCTTTTATGTAGGTTATCTTTTAGTGCTTCACTACATCATTACAGTCAATGTCACTACATCAGGTTATGCTTCATCTGGCATCTTTCACATCAGCCTTGCAATGTTGTTTCCAATGCAAACGGCTCCATCATTAAGGTTGTCATGTTCCTTATCCCTGATTACTTTCCATAATTCATCTATTGTAAGAAGACAGCAGTTTACCAGTGCCACCATTTCTTCAGTCTAATTGCACAGAAATCTATAGGCTCTGCATCTGGCAACTTACCCAGTATGTCTTTGTACATAATAGCAGAAGTACCATTTGATTCTACAGCTGCTTGAGGTATTCGATGGTTGAACCAATATGTTGTGGAAACAACTTGTGTCACTTTTCCAGATGAAGATCCTTCTTAATTATGTTTTGTACTGTTGTTTGGGGCATATTTATGGATTTTGCCACTAACCTTTATGTTTGTGGATTCTACCTGTTACAAAATGGTACATTTTGCTTACCACAACAAGGGTACAACTTGTTGTAGGTCACTTTTTGGATGGTCTTGGTACCCCAAGTTGATCCACATTCTTTTTTATTTTTCGTAATGCTATTAAGTAAGATATTCTAGTCTTAGAAATTCTAAATCTATCATCAAAACATATCTTTATTATCTGAGCATAAGAATATTTTTTCTTCAAAAACGTTATTACATACCCTTCCCAAAAAGTGAAATTTTCTGTGGTGTCACACTATCTATGAAATGCTAATGTCAAAATATAATTCTGATATATATATATATATATATCCACTGAGACTTTGTATCAGTTGTGATTGCCATGTGACTTGCCAATATGCATCTTCAAATTCATTTTAATATAATGTACTGCACTCTGTATAACAGTGGATGGTTAGCCCAGAAAGCAAGTTATTACAGCCAATGGCTTGGAAATGTTGAACTTACATGATACAAAATCAGAACTGGTTGAATGATACAGATCAAAGTGTATTCCCCACTGTGCTGATTTGACAACAGCAAAGCTTATGAGGTAAAACACAGCTAAAGTTCCTGTAAAAAAAATTTATGATAAACTAATTTTAAATCAAAAACTGTATAGTCAAGTCATTAATCTAAAAATTAGTTTATTGGTGAATTATTCAGAAAAAAAATACAAAAACAAAAACAGAATTCTACCCACAGAAAGTTTAAACCTCTTCAATGTCCAAACCTAATGATTTTGACATATTCCTGTTAAGTTTTTTGAATGTAATATAAACTAATATTAAAGTTGTACCCAGCTCAATATGCATGCATTAGTAGTATATTATAGATGAAGAAATGAGCTAATTATGCAAGGTAGAACAGAACTTTTACTTGCTGCAGTGATACTGATTGTCCAACATTGAGAGAATTTTAGTTTGGTTACATCAAAAATTGGTTGTTTTAGATCTATACAACACACCAAACACTCATTTTCCAAGACAGTAAAAATGTTAGTTAGTGCAAAGTGACTGTACAAATAATTTATCTGTTTTAGATAGGATATAAAACAAACTCTCATACTACACAACAACACAAAAGTTTAAGTTAGGGAAAATGACAAGATGAAAATTGGTCTGTAGTAATACAGTTATTAAAACCAAATACTGATTTGTCCAGATCTTAAGACAGCAAATAGTTTGACACTTTTCAAAAGTACACCATCTCTGTAGTGAACTATATACCCTCATACAATGAAACAAATGTATAGATCAAAAATATAAAACACTAAAGATACATCTTTTTAAATTTTGAGTGAAAAATAAAAACTTTGAAAAACAAAATTCGTCTTTAAAAGCCAAAAATAAGTAGTATGAAAAAAATAAGGATTTATCTCAGTCAGGACAAGGACAGTGAAGAATTCTTGCACATCTGTGCTATTAACCTACCAAGAGCATTAAATTTGCTGAAGAAAGTAGGCGATTTCAAGTTGATCAAAGGAAAGATGACGATAAGAAGAAACAGTGGAACAGTTCTGTTAATATCCCAAACCTCATAGAAAATATCGGTGTGGACAAAGTCATGTGTTGTAGAGTTAACTGTAGCCTCAGAACTAGGATCACAGATAACTGAAAAAAATTACCCCATCAGTTTTGAGTTATTACAACTTTTCTGTTTAACCAAAGTTGCAAATGCCACTTCCACAAAAATGCAACGCAATAAAACACTTGTACCACTACATCATATCTACATTATTATGATTTCATTTATTCTTGATTCAGTTCATAGGGTGTACATGTTTTTAAAAATATATATTAAAAACTTCTTCACACAGATTTCCATTGCTTCTGTTTATAATGCTATCAACTTCTTGCCTGTGTTCTGGTATCAACTCTACATCCACGCCGATGATGATGTTCATCACCACAAAGCAAACTCTACATCCACGCCGATGATGATGTTCATCACCACACAGCAAACTCTACATCCACGCCGATGATGATGTTCATCACCACACAGCAAACTCTACATCCACGCCGATGATGATGTTCATCACCACAC